TTATGTTTATATTGGTCTTCTATATTATTTCTATGATAGAACGTCATTAAAAACAAACCAACCAACTACAATAAAAAAACTATATAAACAAGAAAAAACTAAATACAATGTATTGCTAAACAATGCAAAACAAAATAACTTACTTCAACAAATTAATAATTCAGACAATAAATCTAAAACTGTATGGCAAATAATAAATAATGAAACAGGACGTAATAATAAAAATAAAGTAGAATCTGAAATCGATATAGAAACCTTTAATAAATATTTTGTAAATCATTCCTCTGATATAGTACAAGGCATCCTCAATAACAATAAAAATAAAATTGACTTGTTATAACCGAAAACTTCAATCACTTTTCTTAGCTCCTTTTACTGAATCTGACACCATAGATATAATACAAAACATTAAATCAAAGAGAACTCAAGATATATATGAAATTAATACCTATTTATTAAAAAATTGTGCCCAAAATATTGTTGTTCCTATTACTGAATTGATAAACTGTTGTTTAGCTGAAGGTACCTTTCCAGATATTTTTAAAACGTCCAAAGTTCTACCATGCCACAAAAAAGGATATGACTCAGTACCTGAAAATTTTCGCCAAATACATATTTTACCATGTTTTTCTAAAATACTTGAAAGTGTTATAGTAAAACAAATTGTGCATTTCTTTGAAAACAACAACCTGTTTTCTGCGGAATAACTACATGGGAGAACAACTACAGATGCCATGCTGGCTTTAATGAATAACATTCAGGAGTCTTTAGAAAACAAATCACAATGCTTAGATATATTCACTGATCGGTTTAAAGCATTTGACTGTGTAAGTCACACATTGTTAATCATCAAACTAGATAAATATGGCATTAGAGGCATTGCAAATAAGATGATTGCTTCTTATTTGCAAAACAGACAACAAAGTGTATATTACAGAAATAAACTTAGTAAACCTTTATTAATGAAAAGAGGTGTTCCACAAGGATCCGTACTAGGTCCTCTATAATTTTTAATATATACAAATGATCTTCCATCATATTTGAATTCAAATACTGCTGAATTACTAACTACCATATATGCAGATGATACCAATTTCTCATAACACTGCAATAACACATCTGACATAGTTATCAAAAACTCTAAGATTATGACTGAAGCTAAACAATGGTTTGATAGCAACGAATTATTTTTAAAACACAATAAAACTGAAACATGTGTCTTTAGGTTGAACCAAACTACTAGTGAAACAGTGAACACACAACTTACATGGAACTATCAAATAAATAACTTATGTAACAAGTTGGCAAAATTCACGTTTGATCTACGTAGAATATCAAATATAGTTAATACAGAAGAAGCAATAACTACGTATTATGGCTTATTCCATTCCAATTTAACATATGGGATTCTAACTTGGGGAAATGCCTCACTTCACTACAAAGACTTTATCTTGCAAAAATCAGCAGTTCGCTCTATTCTGCGGGTAAACTATTATGAACCATGCCGACTACTATTTAAGCAACTAAGCATAATGACCTTGTTTTCGCAAATATTATTTGAAAACTTGAAAGCAATAAAAAATAATTTGGGAAACTTCACATGTCACTCAGACAATCATACATACGATACCAGAGGGAAAAATCAGCTAATCCAAACGAGAACTAGAATAAACAAGTTCCCAACAATAACAATAGGCATTTCATTCTATAATTCACTTTCACCCCCCACATCCGTAATCTACCAGGAAAAAAGTTTAAACATCAAATTAAAAAGATATTACTGGACATGTGTCTATATAACCCTAACGATTATTTTGTAAGAGTGAAACATGTCACCTAATATTTTTAATATTGTATTTTTTTTATATATTTTTTATTACTATTACCAACCATGATCTTTTAAAATCCTATTTTATTTTAAATTTTATACGAGTATGCTGTATGTTAATGTATGTAACATAATAATAATAATTAATAATAATAATAATAATAATAATAATAATACATTTATTGTCCAACTTTAAAGTTTACACAAAGAGAGCAGTTACATAATTTGTAAAATATTTACAATATTTAGTACACCTAAGAGGACAAATGGCTACAACCGGTTCAGTTGTGAATCGCTTCACTCCTGATCTTCCACCAGTGCCAGAATGATAAAAATAATTTACATTAAGATGACCGACAGAACAGGAGAAAGAAAAAGGAAGAAAAGAAAAGAGGAAAAAGGAAGGAGGAAGGAACAGTTTGGAAGCAAGAATTTATTATTGTTGGTGTAACAGAATAGTTTTGTATTGTTTTTTAAAAGTGTTTGCTTTAAGTCGTAATAATAACTGATTATTTCTGTATAAATCATTGATGCAGATTGTTGCGTTATAGGTAAATGACTTTTTGAAACCAGCTTTATAAAATCTTGGTAACCTAAGGATACTTTTGAGTCGAATATTAAGATTATGTATATCTGTTCTGTAAGTTAGTTTATCGTGCAGATATGCAGGCATATTTGTATTGAAAAGCTTATGACATACACAGGCAAGATGTAGAAGTCTTCTATTATACATATTTAACCAATTTGATTACTTAAAACTAATTGAAATATGATCATATTTCCGAATTCCATATATTAATCTTATACAACAGTTTTGTAATTTTTGAATTCTTCTAGACTCAAAACTATTTAAACAAGGGCCGTACACAATATCGCAGTGATTGAAATTTGATAATACCAATGAATCGCACAACAGCTTTTTCACCTCTTGAGACAAAAAATATCTTTGTCCATATATTAGTTTCAAACTTGCGTAAGATGTCTTTAATTTAACAGTAATGTGTTTTTGAAATTTTAACTTAGAATCTAAAATGAGACCCAAATTTTTACATTCGCTAACGATAGGAATATTCATATTATTTATTTTGATTGATGATGCAGATGTAACTTCTTGTCTAATTAATTCATTACAGAATATCACAGCTTTTGATTTACTTGGATTTATTTTTAATGAATGCGTTTCAGATGTGGTGTATTTTACTATTTATGTGTACTGACGACTATGTAAACATGTTTATATATTACTGAGAATAAAATATTTATATTTCTATAGACACTCACACAATTATAACACACGCAATCACAAATATCTACAGCAGTCTTTCTCTAGACTCTCAGTTGGACAGAATTCCGAAATTTACAGAGGTGTTGCATGTTTCAGTAGATATACTCAAGTCAATGGTAATGAAAAAATCTTTAATGTATTTATTTATTTATGCATATCTTTCGTCAAAAACATATTATTCCTATGCAGAATTTATGATCCGTAATGATATCTCTTGATTATAATTATTGTCTAATGTTTTTGCCCTATTGTATACTATTTTTAATTTGTACTTTATTTTAAACTCAGTTGTAGCATGTCTCTACTTTTCTCTATATTTTAAAATTGTATGTGTTGAAAAGTATAATTCGTCGATCTAATGCACACATATTGTAACTCCAAATTTAATGTTATAACAATCTTGGTACCAATTAACTGAGAATTAAGGTATTTAATTACACTTTCTAGAAGTTTAAATTTGCGATTGTCCAAAAATGCGTTTTTGGATATACAATAAGTGTGCTTTAGACCGACGAATTGTCATTTTTGGTTTTTATCCATTTTTGAGCGTGTTTTTTAATCGTGACCATATTTTTTTTTATTTTATCAAAAACTGCATGTCTAAGCGAAAAAAATGAGTACCTGAAGAACTTTGTACGATAATTTTTTACAATGGAATTTTTTTAAAAAATAAAAAGTGTTTTGGACCGACAAAAATAAATATCTCGAAATTTTTTGAATTTTTATTTAAAAAAAAAATTGTATTTATTTAAGATATACAGAGGTATAATTTCACCAAATTTCATCAAAATTGAATTATTTTTGGATGGATGAAAAATAAAAAACGAAAAAAATAATTTGAACGAATTTTTGCATTTTTATCGAAAATTTTGAGGTTACATTAAAAAGTTACCTCTACAAAAGCTGTAGATTGTTGCTTGATCTACAACTTTTGCATTATAAATTTTTGTTTTTGACGTCAACTTTCGCAGGAAATCGCAATACCATTTTTCACTCCTTTTCAACCCCCTAAAACTTTACTTCAACCCCTTAAAACTGTACTTCAACCCCCCTAAAACTGTACTTAAATTCCCCCCCCCCCCCCAAGTGACATTATTTTTTTATTTATTATAAGCCCCTCTATCTTATACTTATCAAAGTACAGTTAACATTTTTTTCTCAATGTTTAATTTGATTGGACTGGACTATGAGATCAGTGAAAAATTAATTAAAATAACGTGAATTATTAATAATTATAATAATAAATGTATGTTACTGTCATATAATATAAATAGAATGATTGCCAAAAGATTTTTTATAGAAAAAATTAAAAAAAAAAATTGATAAATTAAAAAAATTGTAGATACTTTTTTCAGTGTTAAGACAATACTATCAATTCAGTCAAAAACAATACAAAAAGACAAAAATTTTAAAATCTACCTAAGAATCAGGTAATTATTCAGGTCTGGCAGACCCTCTGCTACTATTGTAGGGCTAAATATATTAAATAACAATTTTTTTTAAATTCTATAACCTCTAGAAATATAGCTAAACATTTTTACAAACTATTGTGCCATAAAAATCCAAAACTGAATTAAAAAATAACTTGGAACATCTTTATAGATTCATCAGTATTAAAAAAAAATCAATAGATACTTAAGAAAAGGTCAAGGAAGACGTCAATTAAAATTACTGCATACAACTTTTAGAAATTTGATTTTCTTTCAAAAATATTGTTGAAAACTTAAAAAAAAAAATAAAAATATTTAAACAATTATAGTAAACATCTGTTCACTTAAATTCCTGTAAGAAATTGAAATTATTTTTTTTTTCTAATAAACCAATGTTTATTATAATTGATAAATTAAAAATTTGTTAATTTATATTTAATTTTAATTAAAAACTTACCAGTTTCTTTATCGCCACTACTGCTTGCAGTTACTTCTGACATTGAGCCATCAACAAAGTGAACCTGCCACAAGATTATTGATTAGTGATGTTCTGCAGTGTAGTATAACTCTCCTTCCCTTGCATTTTATATAGGGTGGACGCATTTAGGAAATGCAATGTTTTATAGAGGGTGTTCAAAATTCAATATAAAAAGTTAATAACAGTTATTAAAAAATACATCGTACTACTGTACAGGGTGCGCAAATTTTAATGTTTTAATAGAGAATCTCGTTAATTATAAATGATATGGAAAAATGAACCTGCCATCCTCAATCTCTTTTTTTGGAAAAAACTTCAAAAATTGGCTATTGTTTTTTGTTTTAGAGTTATTTATAAAAGTAATTTTTTTTTCAAATTTTCATTATGTGGGATTATTTCACTTATTTATGAAAGTGGAAGAAAATAATTTATACCTTCTTCAGGCACTTTTTTGATAAAAATCCAGTGGCGTAGTCAATTTTTTTTTTAAATATTTCAAATTTGGGTTATAGCATAAAATTGTATTTTTTTATATAGTTGACTGTGGCATAAACTCCCATGCCGGATATTTCGGTAAGTAATAGAGATATTTTAATTCTGTAAAAGCCAGTTCATAGAATACTAAGAGAGCTTCAGTATTAGATATAAATTGATTTTAAATAGTTCAATTTGTAGATGGCGCGGCGCTCAATATTTTTTTCGATGAGAGGATCTTTCTTATAATAAATCTAGCCATTTTTGATATACAGAGTGGGTCGTCCTGTTTTTTCAGCAATAATCATTAGATTTTAAGAAAATACTAAAACAAGTCGATTTTTATTCCAAATTAAAAACATTTTTACAATTTACAATACAGACATTTGACATGTGTCAACCTCCTCCTCGCTTGCACTTCTCCAACACCTTAGTTGTAAATAGGTAATGTACCATGCTAATTTAATGGGGGATTCAGAAATATTTCTGTATATTGCGTTACTTAAATTATATCGCCCTCTAGCGGAATAAAAAACTATTACGTATTATAGAGTGTGACACTACAATGTGTAGTACATCATTTAAAAGGTAATTTTATGGGGAATTTAGAAATATGACTGTACGAACTATAAAGTGTGACACCTTATTTGAAAGCAAATTTAATTACTTATTAAATGCACCACATAACATTAATATAAATATCCTCCATATTGCACTTGCAATAGTTTGAAAATTGGTCATGCATTATTTTAAACAAGTGCAATATGGAAATATTCATATTAATGTTATGTGGTGCATTGAATTAGTTATTAAATTAGCTTTCAAATGAAGTGTCACACTTTGTGATTCAAGTGCGGGTAGATTGATAAGCTTTGCAGATGGTACGGCAATTGTTTACTCCGATAATACCTAGACAAATTTAAAAAAAAAAATGAAATTGATTTAGAAAATATACTCGATTTATTTATTCATAAATTACTCACCGTTAATTTCGAAAAAACTTACTTTGTGCCTTTTTCTAACAATGTTATGATATATTAACAGTAGAAAGATCAAATGGACATTACCGCTAAAAAAAATGTTAAGTATCTTGGACTGCATATAGATTGTCATCTTAGATTTGACATTCATATTGAAAATGTAGTTAAAGTTCTGAGGACATTACTGTGTTAGGTATTTTAATAGTATATTAAAGTATAAGTGGATATAACGGTCTTTAAAACACGCGCGATTTTTCGAGCACGACGGCGTTTTAAAGACCAGTTATCCACGAATACTTTACGCTATTTTTTTATTGAAATCCTAAATATTGGTATTATTTCTACAAAAAAATGGAAATAAGAACTAATAACTGAAAATGATTGAATTTGTGATTTAACATCAGTATACCTCGTTGTCATGAAAATGAGACAAACAAAAATGTATTTTCAATCTGTCACGTAGGATTAATTGTCGCAACAGTTGTTATTGTTTAAAATGAGTTCAAATATTGAGTATTTAAATATTAAAGCAGAATCGGGATAAATACCACAAAAATCCGAAGGGGTTTATAAAAAAGAATACGATAAATTCAACACGTGGATGGAAGAGCAAATGGTTACACCTATAGATGAACGAGTTGTTCTCGCTTATCTCCAGAAAATGTCGGAACAGTATAAAGTATCGACTATGTGGACTATTCATTCAAAATTACAAAGTATGTTGAGTGAGGATAAACAAAGGGGTCGATATAAAATCGTTCGTAAAAGTGCATGCATTCATGAAGGCAATTAGCAAAAATGAGGTAGTTAAGAAGACATATGTATTCGAGGAAGACGATTTGCGGAAGTTTTTTACAGATGCACCGGACATTACGTATTTATTTTTGAAGGTGGTTGCTATTTGTGGCATCTTTGGCTCTTGTAGAAAATGTGAATTGTGCGATTTACACTTAGCTGATAAATACATTTTTTGAAAAATGTCTCAGAAATATTTTATTTGACAGATCAATATTTAAAAAGTTGGCATTTAGACATCACGTTTCTCGGGTTGTTGATGTTGCCATGGTAACTTTAAAACACGCGTTTTTTAAAGTTCGTTTTAAACACACTGAGGCGTACTTTAAATAAGTAAAATAGGGTACCAATAAAAAAAAATATTATAGATCCTTGTCATCTCAAAACTATTTATTTTGCTCTGATCGAATCTAGATTAAGATATTCGATTCTTAATTGGGAAGGAGCTGCCTTTTCTTACATAAAAAAGTTAGATGTACTTCAGAAACGGTTTTTAAAAATAATATTCAAGAAGAAACTTACATACAGACACAATTTTTAAGAAGAAATGTTAGTATCCGGACATACACCAAATGAGTAAAGTATTCAATAGTCTCCCCGAATAATATAAAATGTACCTTCTCAATATAAACTCATTAGAATTCATTAAAAAACGGTCCTAATTGCATTGTTTGCCTATAACGGCCAAACTACTTGAATTTTTTTAATGCCACTTACAAAGCTTACTCTTAAATGTGAAATCTTATGTGTGTGTGAATTTCACCGACATCGGACCTTAATTGGCTAAGATATCAAACAATTAAATAATTAAAAAAAAAAAAAAAAAAATAATAATAATAATTTTTTTTTTTCGAAAGTTTGAAGTGGCACAAAAATGCCAAATAAGCACCCAATGGCTTAAAACTTTTATTTTGAGTACTCTATTGTGTCTAGAATACGATTACATTACGAAAAATTCTGCAAATATATTTTATCTATTTTTTTGACGGTTTTTGAGAAAAGTTGCCTAAAATTGACAATTTTTAGTTTTTTTGGTCTGAAAATTAAGCAAACCCAAATTTCATTTCTTCTAAATGTGTATACAATGTTTAAAGTGCGTATGTTTCTTCTAAGTTGTAGAATTCTCCCGACAAAAGTCCCATTACACGCGCTCCGCGGGATCCAAAACTCATGTATACACTACATTACTGTAATTTGATTTTTTTGCAATTTCCAGTTTTAAATTTCTTGCATATCTAAATTTATTAGGCTTAAAATTTATTAAATTGTATTTTACTGACTTGTTATAAGACGTTTCTTGAGTTTTGTGCAAAATATAGAATTACCAGATATTAGCGAACAAAAAGCAAGTTGGAACTTACACTCAGGCTTAGGATTAATTTCCTAACATTTTTAAAGTATACCTTTTTGTGTATTTTTTTGTGCTCTTTTCGATGGCGAAGTTAGTTTTTTCAAATATATTTATTTTGTTAGATGTTTTCGGAAAACCCGGAAAAAATCACATGGGAGAGAGAGAGAGATATGCTTTATTGTCGTAAAAAAATTTACAAAAATTTTATAGACAAAGCGTGTAACTTAAATACTAAACATATTATAAAATTAACTAAACAGCAGAAAAAACAAACAGAAACAAACAGACAAAATAGGAATAACAATTGCAATGGATATGCAATATCCGTCATTATAATTATTCTAATTTAATTTTTAAATTTAAATTTAAACTTTAATATTTAATTATTTAATTAATGCCATTGTATGTGGAACTCAAATGTCTAAGGTACGTTATAAAATTCTGCTACTGTGTAATATGGTCTTTCTAGAAGAAAAGCTTTAGCCAGTCTTCGGAACTTATCGTATGTATTTATAGATTTTAATTGCATCGGAAGGTTATTATACAATTTTTTGGCATTGTAGGTAATGGAATGTTTTAATAGGTCAGAAGTGGGCATTGTTAAATAAACATCAGTCTCTAAATTTCTTGTAGGATATCTACGAGTCGGTCTTTCGGATAAATTTTGAATGTGCTTGCGAACTAAGCAGACGGATTCGAACATAAATAGAGCAGGAAGGGTTAGAATTTTGAAATTTTTGAAGTAATTTTCGCAATGTGTCCTACTACTTAAACCAAATACATAGCGGATTGCTCTTTTTTGCAGTTTAAAAATAGATTCGAAAAGGTATAAGCTACAAGAACCCCAGAAAGGTAAACCATAGCGAAGGTGAGATTCGAATAAGGAAAAGTAGGTTATTAATGCAGTACAAGGAGTCAGCTCTTTAGAAACCGATTTAATGGCAAAACATGCGGAGGATAATTTTTTTGCTAAGGTATATAGTCACTAGATCTTCACTTATGATAGATTGTAATGTCTGCATGTTAGAATTATTCCAGGTTACACTGGTGTCATCAGCAAATAAAGTAATTCTACCACTTATTCTTAAGTCTGTGATGTCGTTGATGAATAATAAAAACAAAATTGGACCTAATACTGATCCTTGAGGTACTCCACTGCTTATTGCTAGATTTGTAGAATCCTCACCATTCACCCGCACCTGTTGATTTCTATTTTCTAGGTAAGTTTTAAACCATTGTAAAGGAGAACCCCGTATGCCATAAATTTGTAACTTATTAATTAAAATATCATGATTTACACAATCGAAGGCCTTTGCGAAGTCACAAAATACTGAAGCGGTGAAAAGTTTATCATTAAGTGATGTGTATATTTCATTAAGAACGGAAAACATTGCGTCGCTAGTGCATTTTTTAGATAGAAAGCCATACTGATGAGCTGTGAGGATGTTATGCTTGAAAAGAAAGGGCAAAAGACGGTTTTTCATTAGCCGTTCTACTATCTTCGATAAGGTAGGCAATAACGCGATAGGTCTATAGTTACAGGTTTTGGTTTTGTCGCCACCTTTATAAAGTGGGATTATTATAGCTGTTTTTAGACAGTTAGGAAAGAGACCAATTTCAAAGGATTCATTAATCAGTGAAGTTAAAATGTTGATTACTACATCCGGTATATTTAGAAATATTTTGGTGGACAGGCCATCAATTCCACAGGAAAATTTATTTTGGATGTTGTTTATGGTTTGCACTAGTTCATGCTTGTCTACTGGTCTTAGGAAGAAACTTTCAGAGGTCCTTTTAGTAGGTAGGAGGAAGGAGAGAGCATCCTGTCTCGGAGCTATGTTAGATTTGATATTTTTACTTACATTTACGAAATAATTGTTTAGTTCATCTGGGCTAGGATTTACACTGTTTGAAGAACGGGTTTTATTCCTTAAGTCATTTATTATAGACCAGGTTTCTTTGGAGGAGTTTTTAGCTCTTGCGATGCGATTTTTGTAATAGTTTTTCTTAGCAGATTTGGTGATTTTCCGATTCAATATTCTGTAGTTGTTGATATAGTTTAATATTAGGGGATTATCTGTGTACTTTTTAATATACATGAGTGACCTCATATTTTTAGATGATGTTCTTATTCCTTTAGTTGTCCAAGATTTATGACATTTAGTTTTAATGGGGCGAAGGGGGAAAGCTGTATTGAAACACATAATTATTTTATTTAAGAAGTCTAAAAATTTAGAGTCAATATCTTCAGAAAGACCATTCCAATCAGTAGTTAGACATAAATTATAGAAATTTTTGAAATTATGCTTAGAGAAAATTCTACCTAGCTGACGGACTTTTTTTGGAGCTGTACGGGGTATCAAAAATTTGGCAAATACTGCTTCGTGGTCTGAGAGACCTGAGCTAATTACTTGGTGCTCTACATCAACGGGTTTAAAATCAGAGACTACGTAATCTATAATTGTAGATGTTGTTCCTGTGATTCTAGTTGGAGAATTTACGTGCATAGTGAGACTGAATGATTCAAAAATATTGATCAAAGACTTTTGAGTAGCACATACATTAGCAAAGTCAATATTAAAATCGCCGCATAAAATTTTCTTACTTTTTATAGGCAATGCGTCAAGTAGATTAAGAAGATTCTCTAGAAAGAGGTGAACATTTGATTTAGGTGTTCTATAAATACAAATAATAAACAAATCAATGTTTTTGTTGTTTACAATGGAAAATTCGAAGAAATTTTCAGCTTGTAGAAAGTCGTATTTAGATACAGCAGAAAAGTCCTTGTCTAAGAATAAAATTAGAGTTCCACCATGGTCTGTATTACTTCTATCATATCTGCTGACGATAGTATATTTTTCGACAAAAACTGGTTCACCAACTTGTAACCAGTGTTCTGTAATAGCAACTATTTGGGGAAACCCTAACTCTTCCAAAAACAAATACAATTCATCAGTCTTATTCCGTATTGATCGAATATTAATTAGAACCATTCTTAATTTACTGTCGGCATAGCCAGTAAGACTAGTTGGGGATTCTAGTTCCCCAGGACACGTCGTATTAATTAAAAATTTTTCCTAGGTGAATCGGCAGTAAAATAACGATGATTGTACTCCCTTTGCTTCTGCAGGTGTATTCTTCGTTCCGCGGTTTTTCCTAATTTAAAAAAAATTGAAAAACTGCTACATCTTTTTTTTCTTTTTTTCGGAAAGATCACATCAAAATACACAAGGTCCTTTTTGTTTCATCCAATTACAAATTAATGTAAGCTCGAAGGGGCTTTTTTTTCGTTATTTAATTGGACTATATTAGAAGTATTTTTATATAAATTGCACTAATTCTATCTCTAGCTAAGAGATAACAGCACCTCCTGGATAAAATCAAATTTGACGTAAATTCGTTCAGAAATCAGTAGGACTCTCCGTCCTTAACAGTTCGCAAGTTATCGAGAAACACTCAAATTATGTAATACTGAATTATTATCGAGATTAGAAATTTACCAAAAGAATAAAAATTTTAAAAAAATTTGCTACAAGTAGACATTTCGGGATAAAAAAAGTTTATTTTTATAAAAATGCATTACTGAGAAGATAATGAAATAAAAACATAAAAACTTAATGTATAAATAAGGAAACTATTGGAAAAATTCGCAACGAGAAATAATAATCTATTTAATTATTGTTCTAAAAATAAAAATATTTATTATTATCTCATTATTTGAATGTTTTAATAAGAAATTTTGGATAATGACTAATGAATATTTTTCAATGTGTTATTCATTCAAAATGCTATAAATTAGTCAATCTTGATAATATTATCAATTTCCGATTGTTTATGACACAAAATAATAATTATCAAAGGAAATTCAACATACCTTCTTGTTGTTTACATTATTGTTCATCGGAACCTTTTCTTTCTCTTTTTCTGGGAACGTTTCCGGGATAAAACTGAATACATACGTATTCGGGCCACCCCAACTTTTTAAAATATGTTCAGTAGGTACATAATTTGTTAAATCTTTCTTAGAGACGAATTTAATTTTTTCTACGGCTTTTTCAGGCAACCAACTTTTTATTATCTTAAAGGCAGCTAAAAATTTAAATAATAAAAATGGATACCATATTATAAAAAACGCAATGATTGGGTACAATTTTTTTTTTTTCGGTCTCTTAACCCTTTCCCTGCTGATGACGCACATGTGCGTCATAGGAAACCCTCACTATGTGCTAACGACGCACATGTGCGTCATATGAAGCTCCTTACTATGTGCTAATGACGCACATGTGCGGCATCCGATCATTTGTGTTTTCAAACGCCAGAATATTCGACACCGGCCAAAAGGGCTTTAATTTGGATTCGCAGGGAAAGGGTTAAACGAAATTAGCATATATTTTCTATATTATGTCTCAAAAGAAGAATACAATTTTCTGATGATAAAAAATGAAAGTCCTTTAATATACAGGGTGTCTGTAAAAGGTCTTTACAAAAACATACCACATATTCCTTAGTAAATGAGTTTTATGTGGCAAAAAAAATGGTATTAAAATTTTGTCCGATAATAATACATAGGCGTAGAACTTGATTTTTTAAATAATTGCACCTTTAAAAATTCTACGCCAATGGAAGAAAAGGAGTTTGAGTATGAAATTTAGATTGCGCAACTCATTTACTTTAAAAAAGGTACTCTTGATAAGACTCGATTACTCTCATGGTTTTGACGAAATTTGCATTTTAGTAATTTTAGAACATAAACAATAATTATTAAAATACAAACTTTGTCAAAACCATGAGAGTAAATCGAGTGTTATCAAGGGTACTTTTTTGTAGTAAATGAGTATTCAATCCAAATTTCATACTTAAACCCCTATTCTGCCATTGTCGTAGAATTTTTAAAGGTGCAATTATTTAAAAAATCAAGTTCTACGCCTATGTATTATTATCGGACAAAATTTTATACGATGAAAAAGATAAAAATGTACTTTTTTCATATCTTCTTCAACACCTCTAATCGAGACTTTTAACAAAAATACTCGATTCTTGCCATGTACGATTTTTTGAGGAATATTAATTATTTGCCTGCAATACGTATAAAAAAACATTTATTGTTGGTTTCCATAGTTTCATCTAAATAAAAACATTGTCAAGTTTTAACACCTAATCTCTTGTTAACGATTGAAAGTGTTCTGACTCAATAATTAAAAAAACAAATGCGTGGTTTATTAATATGGCTGTACAATATACCAATGCAGAATATACCGATATGTTACTGACATTAGGATTTTGTGAAGGAAATTCTCGAGAGAGTGTCAGGGTGTACTCTGAAAGGTTTCCAAATCGTCGTGTACCTAGCCACCCAACTTTTGCTGCTGTTGAGAGACGTCTTCGGGAGACCGGTTCCTTTGCTCCCAACATTGTTGCTAATGGAAGAGAACGTTTTGTAAGGATTCCTGAAGTTAAAGAAGACATTTTAGAACGTTGTTACGTGAAATTAATTTTTAATCAATTTCAAATTTATTTTTAACAACAACTTCTCCATAACCCCTCGTAACACAATCTATGACTCTGGCCCTAGCATTAATACCATTATCGATTTTTACACAAAGCACCGTTTGCGCGCGAAATCTAGTGGTCACAAAACCGATTCGCTTGGAATCAATCGCTCTTTCTGATGTCTCGAGTTCAATGTGTCAGATGTACCGATAAATGTGCCTACTATGAATAGTTTTCCTTTATTCTTTAATTTGTGTTTATTAAGTGTGAACGTTGGGATAATTGTCAGGTAAATGTTTTTCTTTTATTCCCATTTTACTGGATTTAGTTGCAAAACCAAAGCTCGGCCATGTGCTTTTTACTTTCCTATCTGTATACAGATATAAGGAAAGTATAGGAATCATGATTTTTTTCGACCTCGAGTTTTCGACGGATTTTTACGTTTTGAGGTCCCCTGAATCCGTTTTGACTATTTTCGCGATGATGTCTGTGTGTGTCTGTGTGTCTGTGTGTCTGTGTGTCTGTGTGTCTGTGTGTCTGTGTGTCTGTGTGTCTGTGTGTCTGTGTGTCTGTGTGTCTGTGTGTCTGTGTGTCTGTGTGTCTGTGTGTCTGTGTGTCTGTGTGTCTGTGTGTCTGTGTGTCTGTGTGTCTGTGTGTCTGTGTGTCTGTGTGTCTGTGTGTCTGTGTGTCTGTGTGTCTGTGTGTCTGTGTGTCTGTGTGTCTGTGTGTCTGTGTGTCTGTGTGTCTGTGTGTCTGTGTGTCTGTGTGTCTGTGTGTCTGTGTGTCTGTGTGTCTGTGTGTCTGTGTGTCTGTGTGTCTGTGTGTCTGTGTGTCTGTGTGTCTGTGTGTCTGTGTGTCTGTGTGTCTGTGTGTCTGTGTGTCTGTGTGTCTGTGTGTCTGTGTGTCTGTGTGTCTGTGTGTCTGTGTGTCTGTGTGTCTGTGTGTCTGTGTGTCTGTGTGTCTGTGTGTCTGTGTGTCTGTGTGTCTGTGTGTCTGTGTGTCTGTGTGTCTGTGTGTCTGTGTGTCTGTGTGTCTGTGTGTCTGTGTGTCTGTGTGTCTGTGTGTCTGTGTGTCTGTGTGTCTGTGTGTCTGTGTGTCTGTGTGTCTGTGTGTCTGTGTGTCTGTGTGTCTGTGTGTCTGTGTGTCTGTGTGTCTGTGTGTCTGTGTGTCTGTGTGTCTGTGTGTCTGTGTGTCTGTGTGTCTGTGTGTCTGTGTGTCTGTGTGTCTGTGTGTCTGTGTGTCTGTGTGTCTGTGTGTCTGTGTGTCTGTGTGTCTGTGTGTCTGTGTGTCTGTGTGTCTGTGTGTCTGTGTGTCTGTGTGTCTGTGTGTCTGTGTGTCTGTGTGTCTGTGTGTCTGTGTGTCTGTGTGTCTGTGTGTCTGTGTGTCTGTGTGTCTGTGTGTCTGTGTGTCTGTGTGTCTGTGTGTCTGTGTGTCTGTGTGTCTGTGTGTCTGTGTGTCTGTGTGTCTGTGTGTCTGTGTGTCTGTGTGTCTGTGTGTCTGTGTGTCTGTGTGTCTGTGTGTCTGTGTGTCTGTGTGTCTGTGTGTCTGTGTGTCTGTGTGTCTGTGTGTCTGTGTGTCTGTGTGTCTGTGTGTCTGTGTGTCTGTGTGTCTGTGTGTCTGTGTGTCTGTGTGTCTGTGTGTCTGTGTGTCTGTGTGTCTGTGTGTCTGTGTGTCTGTGTGTCTGTGTGTCTGTGTGTCTGTGTGTCTGTGTGTCTGTGTGTCTGTGTGTCTGTGTGTCTGTGTGTCTGTGTGTCTGTGTGTCTGTGTGTGTGTGTGTGTGTGTGTGTGTGTGTGTGTGTGTGTGTGTGTGTGTGTGTGTGTGTGTGTGTGTGTGTGTGTGTGTGTGTGTGTGTGTGTGTGTGTGTGTGTGTGTGTGTGTGTGTGTGTGTGTGTGTGTGTGTGTGTGTGTGTGTGTGTGTGTGTGTGTGTGTGTGTGTGTGTGTGTGTGTGTGTGTGTGTGTGTGTGTGTGTGTGTGTGTGTGTGTGTGTGTGTGTGTGTGTGTGTGTGTGTGTGTGTGTGTGTGTGTGTGTGTGTGTGTGTGTGTGTGTGTGTGTGTGTGTGTGTGTGTGTGTGTGTGTGTGTGTGTGTGTGTGTGTGTGTGTGTGTGTGTGTGTGTGTGTGTGTGTGTGTGTGTGTGTGTGTGTGTGTGTGTGTGTGTGTGTGTGTGTGTGTGTGTGTGTGTGTGTGTGTGTGTGTGTGTGTGTGTGTGTGTGTGTGTGTGTGTGTGTGTGTGTGTATGTGTGTGTCTGTATAACGCATAACTCATGAACCGATACACAGAAAAACACCAAATTTTAAACTTAAGCTTTGTTTCAGCGTCTAATGAGCTGATTAGATTTTGGGCAGAGTCGGAACATTTGGGGGGGTACTTTATAGGTGGTCATTTTTATATTTTATGGAATATATCTGTTATTTACGTTTGGAGAAGAAAATTCTTTAAATAAAAGTTACTTCTAATATTATTATCTATAATTTTTGTTCTATACAAAATTTTCCTAAAATGGTCCGTATTCGAGAAATTTGACAAAATGTAAAAAAAATATTTTTTTATTAAAATTGTTCAAATAAAAGTTGTTTGTAATATAATTCTCTATAATTTTTATTCTCTACATAATTTCTCTAAAATGGACCGTATTCGAGATATTTGAGAAAATGTGTAAATTTCGAATTTTGAAGAAAACTCAAAAACGGATAAAGAAAAAAACATTAAATTTTAAACTTAAGGTTTATTTCGGCCTGACGTGAAATGATTAGATTTTGGACAAAGTCGGAACATCTGGGGGGGTACTTTATGGGAGGCCGTTTTTATATTTTATGAAATATATCTGTTATTTATGTTTGGAGAGGAAAATTGTTCAAATAAAAGTTACTTCTAATATTATTATCTGTAATTTTTGTTTTATGTAAAAATTTCCTGAAATGGTCCGTATTCGAGAAATTTGAAAAAATGTGCAAAATTCTGATTTTTAAGAAAATTGTTTGCAATATCGATCTCTATAATTTTTGTTTATACATGATTTTTCTAAAATGGACCGTAATGAAAAAATTGTAGGAAATTAAAATTTTTCAGTATTTTCGTTTTCCATGAATATCTATAGAAAAATGTTTCGAGGTAGATGTATGTGGACAATGTATATATTTAGTTTATCCTCTAAACATTTATATAACTAGATAGGAAAGTCATGTGTTGGACACATCAGATTTTTTTTATTACCGCCATGCTGGAAAAAGCCGGTTTTTATATTTTATTTCATTTTATATAGATTATAGCTACCCTAATTAATAATATTTTTTTAAGCTATCTTATATCTATTAATATAAATGTGTTATCATTGAATTACTTTGATATATACGCGGAGAGGCAACTAAATAATTGAATTACAAGTCATTTTGGAAATACAGTTAAAACGGAAATTTATGGCTCCTAACTTATTTTTGCCTTATAAATATTTTATATTCTGTTCAGATAATGTAACTTTAATATTTGTCGTGATATTTTATATTTTGTTCAGATGACGTAACTTTAATATTTGTCGTGATATTTTATATCCATTCCGTTTATGCACAAATCCGTTAGATTTCCAAACTGGCATGTATATGTACTTTTACACACGGTACTCAGGTCCTTTTATTTCTTAACCTGTAGTGGCTCCTCCCAGTATCCAAGAAGAAATACTCGTCCCAGTATCCAAGAAGAAGTACTCCTCCCAGTATCCAAGAAGAAGTACTCCTCCCAGTATCCAAGAAGAAGTACTCCTCCCAGTATCCGAGAAGAAGTACCCCTCGCAGTATCCAAGAAGTACTCCTCCCAGTATCCAAGAAGTACTCCTCCAAGTATCCAAGAAGAATACTCTATACCTTCAAATACTGTCTCCAACAAGAAGAGGCTAAGTACTATCTTCACTGTCTCAAAGAAGAAGTACTGTCTCCAAGGACCGTCTCTAAAACGTATTAAGAAGCTCCAAAGTCCTCCAGGAAGCTCCTAGCTAGTTGCCTCTAGCTATAAAAAGGAAAGTACCGTATTTACGTACCAAAATACCACCATCTATCAGTATCGTCAGTAAATTTTATCACTCATTCATTCAACTCATTCACTATCTAATTTGTAAAATTAATCTTTCACTTTTTAATAAATGTATTAAATTTTCTCAGTTTCTTTTATTTGCCACAACTCTTACAGATAACTTTAAGTATCAGAGACAGACTCAATTAAACAGGACATTTAAAATCAGAAGTTTTCCAAGTTACTGAAAAACTTGGTGGCGCTCAACTTTTTTTTGTCATTGCTTTACTTTAATATCTTTCATTTTATCTTAAAGTAGATCTTGGCCCGCGAACAGGTCAAGCTACTCTAATTTTATTTGTCCTGGTCAATTTTTGAATCCACACATGTCAACAATTTGAGCTAAATTACTTATTAAATAATTAACAACATAGAAATCTAGAAAAAAGGTAACAACGTGTTGAAGAAGATCCAGAATTAAGCACCAGAAGAATTGGAAGGGAACTAGGAGTAAGTAAAGATGTCGTTCATAAAGTGCTTAGAGAACAATTGCTATATCCATACCATAAGAAGCCAGTACAAGAATTATTAGTCCATGATCCTCAAATTCGTTTGGGTTTTTGTCGATTTGTTAATATGCAAAGAGAAAGAGATCTAAACTTTGTCAAGAAGGTTCTCTTTACCGATGAAGCGGGTTTTACAAGAAAAGGTATAACTAATACCCATAATGAACATGTTTATGCCGTTGAAAATCCGCATGCAATAAAGGTAAACCATTTTCAGCACGAATTCAAAATTAATGTGTGGGCTGGAATAATTGGTAATTTCATTGTTGGTCCTGTCATACTTCCACGAAGATTAACTGGAGAAAATTATTTGGATTTTCTACAAAATACGTTGTCAGAATTGTTAGAAGATTTACCTCTCCAACTTCGGAGAAATATGTGGTTTATGCAAGATGGAGCTCCACCACATTTTTCTTTAAACGTTAGAAATCACTTGAATGAACAATATCCACACAAATGGATAGGCAGAGGTAATGACGCACCTGTAAACTGGCCACCACGTTCCCCAGACCTAACACCGATGGATTAATTTTTATGGGGACATCTGAAATCCACAGTTTACAGGGAACCTGTAGAAAATGAGGAACAACTCTGGCAACGTATTCAAGATGCAATAAACAATCTTAGAGGTGATGAAGAAGTTATGGAAAGGATACATTTTAATTTTCTTCGACGTATAAATCTTTGCATGCGTGAAAATGGTGAACATTTTGAACAATTTTTGTAAAATCTCTATTTTGATTATGTTGTAAATAATTTTGTGAAACCTATACACTCTAAATTATTAAAACAGAAATTTAGCGAAAACCATGAGAGTAATCGAGTCTTATCAAGAGTACCTTTTTTAAAGTAAATGAGTTGCGCAATCTAAATTTCATACTCAAACTCATTTTCTTCCATTGGCGTAGAATTTTTAAAGGTGCAATTATTTAAAAAATCAAGTTCTACGCCTATGTATTATCGGACAAAATTTTAATACCATTTTTTTGCCACATAAAACTCTACCAATATACCAAATTTCAGCAAAATCGCATATGCCGTTTTATATGGGAAAAACGATTTAAAAATTGTAACTTCAAGGCCCTCTGGAGCCCAAACGAAGCAACTTTGTACTAAGGTAATTTTACTTAAATCGACTTATTTTGGTCTAAGGAATATGTGGTATGTTTTTGTAAAGACCTTTTACAGACACCCTGTATAAATATATTTATCCTTAATCCACCTATTATGAAACAAGAAAAAACACCATGAGTGTCAAATTCTAAGAGCCTGTGTATTTTTGGTATTGTACTGTTTATACGTTATTATAATATGATACAAAATTAGACGTTCATATTACTTAAACTTATTTAAAAATTATTATTATTACATTAAGTTTCAAAAAAATATATATAAACGTACCAGATAGAATCCAAGGCATTTCATAAATTAATATATAGTTCAAAAAATAGGGATAATATTCTTTGAACAGCTCTATAAGGTACTTTGTCACTTCCATATCCATATTACTAAGACCACATCCCTCCATGTCGAAAAATATAGTTATCTTTTCTCCTTTTGTTAATCTAAAATACAAGAAAATTTAATAAAAATAAGAATCTAAATATTATGTAGTCACAGGCTGGAAAGAAGGGCAGATGAAATCCCCTAAAAAAATGCCTATAATTCACTCACTTACGAGTGAAGCTTTGAAATTAGACCACGTGTCCCAGGACGACTTTCAGTTAATTCATAATAACGTTCTATATCTCCTATATTTCTTTGGATATAATAAAATGCTTGTTATGGTATTAGCCAAAGGAGTAGTTATTATAAATTTTCGTTCAATTATCTACTCACCTTTCTAATCTTTCAAACCAATAAATAATTCCTCTTTTTAATATATCCATATCGACAGCGCCCTTTGTGTGCTTGTTACATTTAAATACCAACAATTTACAGTCATCAATATCAGCGCCATGAATAAAAAATCCACCCGAACAGAGAACGTCCATTTTAACGGTATTCTCATTGATTTCTAAAAATAGGTATAAATTAATTCGCAAAAAAATACTATTTTTGAATAATTGTTCCATTACTTAAAATAGTTTCCAAGTACATATTAGATATTCTTTGAAAATTTGTATTAAGAGAAATATAATGATCATTAAAATTTGATTTTTATGAGTAAAATATCTAAAAATTTGAATATCTTGGCAATATAGCATCCGATTTACCAAAACAAAAAAATTAGGTAAAGGCCAGTAAAGTAGCAATAAAAAAAAATAAAAATGTCGCCACTTAAACTTAGAACACTCATTTCAATAATTAGTTTTGGCACTAGGTACACACCGTGATGAGATAATTGGTCTACCCTATATTAAGTTGATAGTATGTGATAAGATGTCTTTATAATGTTTAAAAACTATTAATTTTAAAATATATATGAAACCTTTACCATTAACATTTTGCTCTTTTCTCCACGTGACTGCCGTCCACATCATATTAAGAGCATTTTCCTTATTACCTTCTTGGTGCAATAGAAATCTTCTTAGCCATTCATCATTAGTTTTAATTTTTTCTAAGTCTTTTGGATGAACACCTTTAAAATAATTTGTATTATCTATTAATCCATCGGTAAATATTTAGGGATAATTAAAAATACATTGAAATCTGAATAGTTTCTCTGTTAAGACAATACAGTGGCAAAGTGTGTCCTATCTTCTAATTTTTTTATACTGTATTATTGTTTAATAGTTATGTGTATTTGACATTAGTTGTTGTTTTACCTACAGTTAAAATATCGATTTTAAAAATATTTCCAAAGAGTTATTTAAATTAAAATATTTTGATATATCGTCGGTCTAAAGCACACTTATTGTATATCCAAAAACGCATTTTTGGACAATCGCAAATTTAAACTTCTAGAAAATGTAATTAAATGCCTTAATTCTCAGTTTTAATTTGAATTTATTGTAGTTTGGTGGGTGTTGGAGCCATGTTGGAGCTACAATGTTTGTGCCCAAAAAAGAAGGCTAAAATGCGAATTGGTACCAAGATTGTTATAACATTAAATTTTTGAGGCGCTTAATCCAAATTTCACGTCAAAAACGACCCCCTGAACACCTGGTGGCACTGGAACCTGGACGCGGACCTCATCTCCGTGAGTTTTCCTCACACAATCGAAAAAGATGAACCGAAAATCTATATGGGGGGGTTTGTGGTGCTGAATTCAAATGTGACATCGGCGAAAACCCCCCGGACACCTGGTGTGCCGGAACCTGCATGTGGACGTCATCCCCGATAATTTTCCTGACAAGATCGCCAAAAAAAACCCGAAAATCATTGGTGAATGGGGGCGTTTTTTGGGGCGTTGAATCCAAATTTCACGTCAAAAACGACCCCATAAACATCTGCTGCACTGGAACCTGGACGTGGACCTCATCTCCGTGAGTTTTCCTTACACAATCGAAAAAGATGAACCGAAAATCTATATGGGGGGGTTTGGGGTGCTGAATTCAAATGTGACATCGGCGAAAACCCCCCGGACACCTGGTGTGCCGGAACCTGCATGTGGACGTCATCCCCGATAATTTTCCTGACAAGATCGCCAAAAACAACCCGAAAATCATTGGAGGAGGGGGGCGTTTTTTGGGGCGTTGAGTCCAAATTTCACGTCAAAAACGACCCCCTGAACATCTGGTGCACTGGAACCTGGACGCGGACCTCATCTCCGTGAGTTTCCTCACACAATCGAAAAAGATGAACCGAAAATCGTCATGGGGGGTTTTTTGGGGGCGCTGAATTCAAATGTGGCATTTGCGAACACCCCCCGGACACCTGGTGCGCCCAAACCTGAACTTGGACGTCATCCCTGAGAATTTTCCTGACAAGATCGCCAAAAAAAACCCAAAAATCATTGTAGGGGCGTTTTTTGGGGCGCTTTATCCAAATTTCACGTCGAAACCGATCCCCGAACACCTAGTGCACCGGAATCTGGCCCTAAACATCGTCTACGAAGGGTTTCCTCACACAATCGAAAAAGACAAACTCAAAATCATTATGGGGGGTTTTTTGGTGCGCTGAATCCGAATTTCACGTCGAAAACGATCCTCCCAATACCTGACTATTAGTTAGCTAATGAATGATGATGATTGATGATAGAAAAAATTGTTATATGTATATGGAGCGTTTTGGATTCAGGGTTCGAAAAAAATGATTTTTTCAAAAAAATCAAATTGATTTTTATTAAAAAAATATAAGTTCGGGCGAGCCTTGGCAAGATGAAATAAATATTAAAATCAATATGTTTTAAATTTAAAAAGTTCATTAAAATGTAAGTATAATTAATATCTAATCTAAATATTTTTTATCAATTCAACTATATCTCTATAACTGATTAAATTTATCAGCAATTAATTTTTTTATTGTAAGCGGAATTTCAATTTATTCTATAAAAATATTAACAAAAGTAAAAGGTAATAACTAATTACAGTCCGTAGAATAACTAATAATTTATTAATAATATTTAACCTTGAAAAATAAAACTGATAGCCAAAACAATCATTATATCATACAATTTTTAAAGAATATGAACATTAAAATCAATAAAAAGTAAATAACTCATTTTTTATTAAGTTTCTTATTTACAATAACTGTTTAAACATTTGATTTTTTCGAGGGGCAAATCACTCCCGCAATACGTGTACAAAATGTCCGCAATCCCATTGAAAATCGCCGCAGTCGTTCCGAATTCGCTCGCAGTCGTTCCGAATTCCCTTGCAGTCATAGAAATAATACTATTTCTATGCTTGCAGTCCCCCGAATTCTCTAGCAGTCACTGAGCAATCACTAGCAATCGTTAAAAATCGCGCGCAGTAAGGTGACATTAACCAATTAGCCATTGTTGATGAAGGGTGCTTTGATTAAGCCATCTAAACCATTTTGTGTAAAGAAATTGCAGTTTACATTTATCGAAAGGGTCCTTCCGTGCATTTTGAGGCAAGAACTATTAAGTTAAATTTACATTTTGGAATTTGAAGGTTTTTTTAGGATAAATTTAGACACTAAATCTACTTGTATACAAGATTTTACAAGGTGGTCGAAAATTGTCCCTTTTCATCTATTTTTTTTTTAATGTATAACAAAATTGTTGGTATTTTATGGGGGTTGGGGTGATACACGTTTTAATTAGGATTTTAAATGTATTGTTACTTTCCTATCTGTTTACAGATAAGGAAAGTATAGGAATCATGATTTTTTTCGACCTCGAATTTTCGACGGTTTTTTATGTTTTGGGGTATCCTGAATCTGTTTTGACTATTTTCGCGATGATGTCTGTGTGTGTGTCTGTATCCTCGATAACTCATGAACGGATACAAAGAAAAACACCAAATTTTAAACTTAAGCTTTATTCCGGCGTCCAATTAGCTGATTAGATTTTGGGCAGAGTCGGAACATTTGGAGGGTACTTTATAGTCATCATTTTTATATTTTATGGAATATATCTGTTATTTACGTTTGGAGAAGAAATTTTTTCAAATAAAAGTTACTTACAATATTATTATCTATAATTTGTTCTATACAAAATTTGGTCCGTATTCGAGAAATTTGACAAAATGTAAAAAAAAATATTTTTTTATAAAAATTGTTCAAATAAAAGTTGTTTGTAATATAATTCTCTATAATTTTTGCCCTATACATAATTTCTCTAAAATGGACCGTATTCGAGATATTTAAGAAAATGTGTAAATTTCGAATTTTAAAGAAAAATCAAAAACGGATAAAGTAAAAAACATTAAATTTTAAACTTAAGTTTCCATATATGATGTAGATAATGAAAAGAGCATTTTTTATGGATTGGAAGATCTTAATATAAAGGATTTTCGAAATTACTAGACAAAAAGTGATTCTGATACCTCATTTTTAAACATAATTGTGAACAACAAAAAAAATAAGGTAAAAAAATCAGCTCTTTGTTGGTTATTTTCCACTGAAGACGGGCCCTTGTCAACTGACAGATTATCTCGTGTAAAAGGAACATCCTCAGCAGTACTAAATAAAAAAAAGTCCAGAAAAAACACAGCTAAAATACCAAATAACTACAATGACAAAGATGTAACAGAAAGTGAAAAAACTACCGGTGAAAACACTTTGCTCCAGAAAAATATCAATAGCATTTTAATTAGGAACGAACAATATTACGCAATTCTTTACGAGTCGTGGTACATAGGTCGGATTGTTCAAATAATTGATGAAACCACTAGTAAAATAAAAATTTTAAAATCTGAACTTGAAGAATATTTATGGCCAAAAAAAAGACGACATTCAAATTGTTAAAAATAAATTAATATTTTACGGACCCATCAATTCAATTGGATCTGGTCCATTTAAACTAGAAACAAACATCAATAAAATTTGTAAACGTCTAAAAAAAACACTTTTATGAAATTTTTAAATAAAAAACCTCCAATTACTTAATTACTTAACTTGTTTTATTTACCTGTACCTATTTGTTCATTTAGGCATATCAAAGATATCTAATAATGGAGGCATGTAAGTACCTACATAGAAGTTTATATTTCGGGTATCACATCAATTAAAACTGATCTTTTAAATTAATAAAAAACGTACAAAAAGTTGATTTATTGATAAATTTGTCGTACACACTTAGTTTTAAATCAATGCATTGTATTTAGCACCTATACATGCGCTATACAAAATTTAGTTTTTCTGATGAAACACCTAGCTAATGCTTTTTTTACTGGAAACCAACTGGTAAGCCATACAATATCGTAGAAATCCTTCGGGAATGCGTGCAATTTTGCAATAATACTGACAATCCATACGTACGAGTAAATCGCCGCAATCAATAGGGAAATTGCCGCAATCAATAGAGAAATCGTTGCAGTCACTACATAAATCACCGCAGTCACGGGAAATCAGTCGGAAGTCATGTGGAAATCACCGCAGTCATCCAGAAATCGCCGCTGTCATCTAGAAATCGCCGCAGTCATCCAGAAATCGCCATATGATTGCGGAAATCATATGAATTCGGCAATACATGTACATTTTTACAAAGAGTGATTTGCCCCTCGGATTTTTTCCAACCAGGATGTATAAATAATATATAATGATCAAAAATCAATACTGGACTTATTACTAAGTAAGATAAAAAATCGTTGCTTTATTTGCTTCCAGATACATTTAAAGTATCACGAGTTAACCCTGTTTTCAAAAAAGGGGACATGAATCTACCATCTCTTTACAGACCTATCAATTATATCCAAATTTATCCCAACCTAAAAGAAAATGTAATAAAAACTTGAATTATATGAATATAGATGAAATAAAGAGACAAAAACAACTAATCACATTTTTACAGGACATCAATAAATACAAACCAACCGACTACAATAAAAAATTATATAAACAAGAGAAAACTAAATACAATGTGTTGCTAAAAAATACAAAACAAAATAACTTACTTCAACAAATTAATAATTCAGACAATAAATCTAAAACTGTATGGCAAATAATAAATAATGAAACGGGACGTAATAATAAAAATAAAGTAGAATCTGAAATCGATATAGAAAGCTT